CCAAATGAAGTTATGTTGTGATGGGCTCAGTTGGTTTTTGGTTGGTTTTTTTTTTTGTTAGTTGATTTATTCCTGCTCTGACTTTGAGTAAGAAGACTTGGAAAGGCTAGTAGTTTTCTGTGGTGAATATTCACTTTATCATCTTTGCTGTTAGAGTGTGCAGCACTAAAGATCACAAGTGCTGGAACTGCTCTCCTGGTTTGTTTGTTTGCTTTTAAAGTATCACGAATATCCCATCAAGGAAAAACACATAGTGTGCTCACATTTGAGACTAAAGATAAGTTTTTATAGATTTTACTGTCCTGAGTGTATCGTATAACAGATGACTATAACATAAAACAAGATTTGTTTCTCAAGTTGCAAATAATTTTTTGTTTCCCATTCAGGAATGGAGGCAGCATTCCTGTCGTAGGAGTCCGTGTGGCGTGCCGCTTCGTACCCGGGGAAACGGGCAGGGACACAGGATGAGGGATGCATAAATCTGCTTGTTATTTTCATCTGGGGCTCACGTGGTGGTTGTTTGACTCTGGTTATAATATTCTTGCACGTAGAAACTGAAGGGTGTTGAACATGTTGATTCCTTGAAACTTCATTTGCACAGACAAAGCGTGCTGTTTTCTAATGCTAACGGTCTACAAGCAAGCTGGTGCTGTAATTTGATTTCTGCAACCTTTTGAACCGTCTTAAGGAACTGCAAACGCTTTGATGCGACTCATGGTTAGTGTAACTGAACACCTTCTGGTCACCGGCACTCTCCCTGCGTTGGTCTGGATGCGAACTTGAGAAATAATGGGACGGCAAAGTGGAAATCTCTGTGAGCAGGTTCCCTTCTCCTTCACAGGAAAGGCTGAGGACATTCTCAGCCCACCACGCTGTGTAGTACCTGAAAGCAGTTGTCTGGGACACTGACAGCCGTCAGATGTTTTGGTGTGCTGCGGACAGATCTTCATTTCTCTGACGTCTCCGTAGCATAAGGCTGAAATACGCGATTTGAATGTGGCAGCCGACCGTGTAGAGCTCTGCGTGTTCTGCTCGGCCGGATCCCGGGGGGTGTTAGTCACAGGGCTGGGTCTTACTGGAGATGACACGGCAGGGAGGCAGAAAACTTGGAAGGGAACAGGTCTTACCCCATCCGCATCTGCAGCTTCCTTGTGCCGGTGGTGCGAGGGGCGTGTGTACGTTGAATATGGCCATGATTACAGGGAACAGATTCATAGACTTTTGGGGATGTGTGCATGCAGTTTTCACTTACTGGTGCTTGTTCAGATGAAAGCAATTTGATAAAACTTTTTGGCCTGTAGTGGGTGTCATTTACACTAGTAATGGTAGCCACTAAAACAATGTGGTTAGTGTCCATCGGGAACTCTGCTGTGTTTCACAGCATAGCTGTACCGATCCAAAAAACCTGTAGTAAAATGACTGCAGTGGCAGAGGAGCGTTAAAACACCTGCAACTTGACCGTAACTTAGAAAACCAGCTGCCTGCTGGCATACGATTTAATTTTCAGTGCAGTTTAGTTGCAGGCTTTGTTGTTTTGGTCTTCTTTTTAATCACAGAATCACAGAATGTTGGGGGTTGGAAGGGACCTCAAAAGATCATCTAGTCCAGCCCCTGCCAGAGCAGGATCACCTACAGTAGGTCCCACAAGAACGCATCGAGGCGGGGTTTGAACGTCTCCAGAGCAGGAGACTCCACACCCTCCCTGGGCAGCCTGGCTCTGTCACCCTCACAGGGAAAAAGTTTTTAATATTTTTGTGGAACCTCCTATGTTCCAAATCTTTAGACTCATCTGTATTTGTAAAACATGTAAAATAGTGCAGTAACCACGTTGCATGCCACGTACCCTGACTTCATTTCCCCAGAGTGTTCATTCCGGTGTTGTTACGGCGAGGCAGCAGGCAGAGCATCTCGGCGCTCTCGGGCACGGCGGGCAGCGCGTGGTGTCTGGGTAAAAAGAAGACTGAGGGAGTTTAATATTGTAGCATCCATAAAAAATGGGAGCACTTTATTAACGGAGACTGTGTAAAGCTTTCTTATGGAAGGAGTTTGCATTAATGCATTTTATTGTTCCATCTAAGGAGGTGAAATGATAAGCCTAGTGTCATGCACAGGTTTTTGACTATTCTGTTAAATAGGTTTTAATAGTTAATGTTTTTATTCTCATGCATTTCCAAGCAGCAATTATTTCCAAGAATAAAGATAATTAAATTTGTCTCGATGCTCTCAGGATTAAAAGGGAGAAAGCTGTATTCTAGTCTGCATCACCAGAGATGAGGAGTCCTGCCCTGATTTGCCCTTCAGATTTGGGCAGCGCAGTAGCTGGTCCCGTCCCGCTTCCATGAGTTGTGGCAGCGGCGAGAAGCGTTGCCTGTCGATGCCGTTTCGGAGGCAGGCTCCGAAAAGATGCCGAGCCTGGTGGCTGGTTTGGCCCCGGGGTAGGTGGGGAGGGGGAGAAGGCCGTAATCCCTCTCGGCCGTGTGCGAGCGGGGTTTTCTCGCGCTGGCTCGCGGGGCCATGTGACTTTTGGCCATATTAGCAGGTTTATCCCAGCCTGGTCCCTCTGACTAAAGGGCATTCTGGGATTGCAGCAGTTGCTTTGGAACAACAATGTCCTTTTTGTAAGAATCTGACGCTTCTTAAAAGATGGAACATGACATCATCACCGCCGATCCAAGAAACATTCCTTCAATAACACTGAGTGTGCTCTGGTTATCAGCTCCCTTCCCCCAGCTCCTTTCCCTCGCTTTTCTGACTGATGCTTTTTGTCTATTGTTTCGTCGGGGGCTGTAAATGCGAAACAGTTGTCTTTCAGTGTTATGTGCTTGTTAGAGCTGGAATCAAGTGCAATGTTGTTGGCTCCTTTGAAAGAAGGAAAGAAAAATAACCAAAAAGAAACTTTCTCTTCCAGTCTTCATAAACGTAGCGTGCTTCAGGTACGGGCTGAATCGAGGCTAATTATTTCCCTTCCCACGCGGTATTAGTTGCTGCGTTATGCAACGGAAGGTGGAGATATCGCAGTCCCGTTCCTTTGCACCTCGCTTGGCTTCGCTGCCGGGCGGCTTTATCCTGTGCTGGTGCCGTCTCCTTCGCGGGCTCCTGCGGTGATCCCGCAGCGATCCGAGCCGCGCGTGCCCACGAGTGCGGGATCGCGGAGTTGTGAACGGCTGCACGTTTTCTGCGTGTATATAGATACACATAGGTTGTTATACCAGGTCCACCGCTGGGATTTTCCTCAGCCCCTGCAAGCGGGCTAGCATGGAAACACATCTTGGATCGCGTTAAAAATCTTTTAGGATGCCGGCTGTTTGGAGGAAAGCTATGAAAATGCTGGATTTTGCTTCCCTTCCCTGCGTTCTCTCTCCCACGCATATCTTCGTCAGGAAAACTGGAGACTCTTGCAGGCTTCACCACTAGGTATGTCTGGGCTGTCTCTCGCACAGCCGTGCTCTCCTTGTGCCATGCTGGCAGTTTGCACTAACGAGGAGCAGGCAGCCTTTGGCACTTCCACGTGCTGCAACTGCCTAGAGAAGAGTGCCATCGAGTGTAAACATGCAGGTGTCTTTTTCCATCCTTGTAGGAATTTGTTCCACAGGGAGGGAAAAACAAGCGATTCATTGGTGGTCTATGGGCTTGGAGAAAGGGGGAGTTCTCATGTCCAGAAAAGGAGGAAAAATGGACGGGGAAAGGGCCTTTTGATAGGTTCATTAAACTGAGGTTTGCTGTCTTTTTTATTGTTGTTGTTTTTTCCATTCTGAAGATGTAAAACTTCTTTGAAAACCGAATTTGAGATCTGAAATATGAATTAAAGAAGCACAAGTCTTGACCAGAGAGGGATTTTGGGAAAGAAGTGAGCTGTGCGATTAGCTGTTTGCCAGTGACACCAAATTGTTATTACTGGTGACAATTCCAGAGAATTGAGAGGAAATCCTAAGACCCAGGGCCCTTCCTTTAGGGCGGGGAGAAGTGCATTTCGCTTGTAGTTGTTGTTTGGCTTCAACTGTTGTAAAGATATAGTAAGATTTTTGCACAACTCGAAAATATACTTTTATTCTGGATAGATTCCAAGACACACTTTGAGTAAATGGAAGCAAATACATGGTGCAGACAGAAAGGATTTCCTACATTCCCATTGGCACCTGAAATTGCAAGTTCCTCTGAAGAAATTGTTTGCCAGTGGACAGTTGTAGAAAGCTGTGTCATGTTCCGTCACAACTGAAATGTTTGTTTGCATCTGCTGAAGCAGAGTAAAAAGACGTGTCGTGTGTGGAACTGGGTATCTCCTGCTCTGGCTGCTGCTCCTCTAAAGAAGGGGGTTGAAGAGTGGGCACTTTAGGATAGAGAACATGAATTTCCATAAGCGAAAAAGACAAAAAGGACCATGACTTATTTTGTTGTGGAAGGAGAAGCTTTAGAGAGGCCTCCTGTGCGTGCTGAAAAGAGTAAAGATTGGTCTCTGGCTGCTCATTAACTGGAGTACAATTGCAGAAGAGAAAAATAGTGAGCTGAATTGAAAATAATGTAAATACAGATCGGTAATTGGCAGTGGTAGTTCACACACATCATACTCGTACCGTGTAACTTGTCTTACAAAGGCCATGTTTTAGACGCGTGTGTGCAGTTGTGCCGTCTGCTTCACAAAGTCCGAACGACACTTTGAGCCATAGCGGGTGTAACCGGTCAGAGGGCGGGTGTCGAGGAAACACGGGCTCACTCCTCACAAACTGGCGACGGCTGTACCTCGGAGAGATGCTGCTGACCGCTCTGCAGGAGCCTGCGCAGATCCTGGCGCAAGAAACATGTCTCAGTTTGCGTTTCGGTTTTGTTGGTGTTCTGTAGAAGCGTGGCGGTGTGACCGTGACATTATCCCAGCGGGCAGGTTGCCTTGCTTCCCACACCAGGGGCGCTTGCTCGGGAAGAAGGGGAAGCTGCTCTGCTGTAGCTTTGTTTCTGACGCTCGGAGAAGAGGATAATCAGTGAAGGCTTGCAATCTTTTTCTTGCAGTAATCCATGCTGAAGAGGCTCCATTCATACAGATGAACCAAGGGTTGAGGCAGCACTTTAAACCCAGATAGTCGGTCGGCTCACTGCCCAGCAGGATGCCATCAACCAGCCGAGCGGGCAGCCTGAAGGACCCAGAAATTGCAGAGCTCTTCTTCAAAGAAGATCCAGAAAAGCTCTTCACAGATCTCCGAGAGATTGGCCATGGAAGCTTCGGAGCAGTGTATTTTGTAAGTAGATCCATGACTTGTGAGTTTTAGCTGTGTCTCTTTTTAAACTGTGGACGTAGACTTTTGGAATATATTGAGGAAAAGAAACTACCAGGGATCTTCTTTTATGGTGTTTGGGGCAGAGATATTTTCGTGTGTGTATGTACAGCTTCTGTCGCTTCAGAGGCTCAAAAGTATCTGTAAAGTGTGTGTGTACAACCTGAAAAGCAAAGCTGAAAACGTGGCCATTGCCCAGTGCGTGTGGCTGCATTGTTATGTTGCAAGCAGGGATTTATCTGCAAATTAAAACCTGTGCTCCGTGGATTCCGACTGGCAGTGCAGTTCTCTCGGTCTGATCCTTTCCTTGTCCCTTGAGAGAAACTGAATTCTCTCTCCCTTTGTGCATACCCCCAGGCTCCCTTAGAGCCATTCTTTGTGTTTGACACCTGAGCGGTCGCACTTCTGTTGTCATTTGTGCTGTCATATCCTTCCCTACTGCAGGCAAGAATCCCAGTATTCATCTGCATAAAACTTAATTTGACATGAACGTCTGGACAGCAGAATTTTTCCCAGGCTCCTTCTCTAGCTCATCTGGAGGTGGGATGTCTCACGGTAACCTCCTTTGCAGGTTGCTCTGTGTTAACCGAAGTGCATACTGCGAGACCTTCATTAAAAAACCATTTTCCTCAGAAAACCTTTTCACATTTATAATTATAGGAGGTGTGGCCAAACCTGCCAATTTCCCTTCAGAAAGCCATTTGTGTCAGTATTCTATGAGATGCCTATTCATAATTGCAGCCGACCATGTTGGGAACCTTCCAGCACAAATTTAATGCAGCACAGATGAACTAATTAGGAAAAGCTTCTTAATTTTGTTCCCTGTTTAAAACTATGAGCCACCACTGTCTGGGAACAGATCTGGGGGAGGAAGTGTTTTGCAACGAAGCAGTACTCACCTGCGGCATTTACTTCATCTCGTTTACTCACTTTGGTTAACGAGCGGATATAAGAGGAGGGAGCTGACAAATCTGTCTTCCTGCTATGTGGAAACATTATTGAAGAGATGCTATTGTGGAAACATTATGGAAGTTTTCAGGAAGACTATCTGACCTAGGCAGGTATGGAAACCCAACACAGAGCTCTGGGTGCCGATGGCGTTCCCAGACCTCAATGAGAAGCTGCCTGCCTGGCGTGTGTCGGCTGCCTGAGCTTTGTCGTTGTGGTAAAGGCTGATTGCCCGTTACCAGCTCCTACAAAGAGATCGAAAGTAAGAGGTCATTAATTTCCAAGCCCTTCTTGCTCTTTTTCCCCCACCATTTTCGACTACCAGTTCAGGATAGGTTGGTATTTATTCGCTCAAGAGTGCAATTACTTGCTCGTGCTTGGATTGTGCTTCTTTGACAAGAAGTAAGTCTGATTTGGCATTGGCAGAAAAAGCCAAGTGTAAGCAGCGCCTTGCACTGCTCCAACCCATTTGGGGGCTTTATTTTTCTGAAGAAAGAGTTTCCAACAAAGCAGATAGGCTGTCGCTGTTTCTGTGGAACAGAGTTTTAACCTTTAAGTTTTGTGTTGTATTGCACGTGGTTTTACTGCTAGCAGGTCTAAGAATCTGAAACTGTCTGGTGTAATGTACTCCCTGCATAAAAGATGAGAAAGACAACATGGAGGGAGAAATCTAGTGCGAGTTAAATAAGCATAAAGAACTAAAGCAGGGAAGTGTATGTCTTGGGTCCTTTATTCCTCTGTAAAGCTGAGGAAGAAATTTCTCTTCGATTTCTTTAGCAAGATGTTGATTCTGCTAATGCAAACAATTAAACTTTCTCTAATCAATGTAATATTGGATTGTAGTTAATGGCTTAAAAGCATATTACGAAAGCCGATAACATACTTCACCTTGGCTTCGTTCGCGCTTTGCCTGTGTCACGACTGGAGTTGCTCTGGTCACCAGATGTTGCTCCTTTGCACAGAGTTCTCGGAGGAAAGCAGCATAGATGAGCGTCAATGTCTGCCATGAAAAAAGTCCCGTTCATTTGGGTCGTTTGCATTAGCCACCTTTGTGACATCTTTGGGGCCATTGACTAGGAACCGACTTCTTTCAATTACTCGAGATCACAAGGAAATGAAGAAAGCAAACAAAACTCCGTGATGTCAGTGGGGCTGGAGCGACAGCTGGGACGGTTCCCTCTCGGCCTCGCTGTACAGTGGAGGACAGTGGGTCTCGGGCAAACACAACCAGGGCTTGTCTGCTTGGGTTTTCTAAAGCCTGACACCCCCCTCCCCAGGCTGCTTTCAGGGCACACAGCCTGCTCCAAAAATGTTGATGATAAATACGTGTGGGAGTAATTAACAAGTAGAAAAAAGCCATCTAATACTGAAATCTCCCTCTACTTTTTTTGAATGCGGTTTATTCTTTTTATCGTTAGTTTTACCCACCTTTCTTGTCTTTTATATCCCGAGAAAGGGTGATATGTCACATGAAAACTGGCTCAAAAGGTTCACTCCTGTCTCTTTTTCGATTACATCCCTCAGTGGCAGAAAGTTTGCTGGGTTTTTGTGTTGTTTTTTTTCTTTTCTTTCATGATTGCCATGAATTTTGCTGGTTCACCTCATGGTTTTAGTTTCTTAGAAACTGCAAGTCTGGCACCTCTGAATCATTTTGGTATTATCCTTACCCTACTCCCTGCTCTGCAGTGTAATAATAGCTTTTGCTTGACACAGGAAACCTACTACACTGGAACACTGCAGATGGAGCAGAAGAATAACCCACTCGCTTTTGTTAGAGCTGTGTTCCTTCTGCTCTACTCTAGTATTTTGCTTGCCTGTTTTATTGTGGTTTTTCACCAATTGGAGTGTCTTGGAGATTGTCTCTAATTAATAAAGGTCTGGGAGTCAGAATTTTATTCTTCTTTTTTTTTTCGACTCAAAACCTGAAAATAGACATCCCCCTAACCTTAGAGGTAATAGCAGTAAGACAGTGGGAAGGATCCTTTCAAACAGAAAGAAAATTAAAAATAGTATTGGTTCAAGCGTATCGTAACTGGTTGAAATAAAGACTGAGGGGGAATTCTGGGAATCTCTTTAATGAACAGCAGAATTAAAACATAACTGCAAAACCTTTTTGCAAAAGGCAGAGCCCTGGTACTTCTTTAATCTGTGTTCTGATAGGCTGTGCTTAATAGTACAAATCTATTAAACCCCAGCATTTTCATCAGTCACCAGTGAATGCTGTGGGGTGCACATTATTCTGATTTATATCATGTGGCTTCGTATCCAAGTTGATTATTCTTATCAGAGAGACTCAGAGGTCTTTTCCTCTGCCTCCCTCCCCTGCTGCTGAAATCCCTAAGAGAGGAGCGGCCGGTGTCTTGGCTGGAGCCAGCCTTCCTGCTGCCTCTCCCCCTGCCAGGTAGAATGAGCCGTAGCTTTGGCTAAATTAAACAAAACTTGGTGTCTTTTCTTGGGTAGTTGCTGTCTGAAGTCAGCAAGTCTGCCTTCGGAGTGCGAAAAAATGCCTACGTTTATTGCACGGTGTAAATTACAATATTACTGGACTGAGAAAATGAAAATCTGAAGGGGGGGTCGCTGAGATCGCTGCCACCTTTCTCTCTGTCATCTGCCTTCCTTTAAGACACAGAAGCTCGTTTTTGGGAGCACCGGGGAGAACTGATGGTGTCTGGGCCAGGTACCTGCTCTGCCTCCCCTGACACCTTTGCTTATGTTTGGAACAGAGCGAAGGGGCTGAGCCTTGGTCTGGAAGGGACTTGGGCAGAGAGAGAAGTTGATTTAGGGCAAATCCTTTCCACTTGAATCAGAGCTGTTTTTATAAGCTGTGATTTTTGGTTTAGACGTGACGGTACTCGACTCCTGCAGAGACTTGCTCGATGCTCAGCACAGAAAAATGTCAGACCTTGTCTCACAAAGAGGAGGGTGATCTTTATTCTAATAGATGCAGCAGTCACACCCCTTGGAAGATATTTCAGTTTAATGCTGCAAAAGTGAACTAAGGGATAAAGATTTATATTTTTTTAATGAGTATATTTGTTTTTACATCTTATGGGAAATGAAGATCTGAAGAAACTGATGCATGTTTTCATGTTACAGGCACGTGATGTGCGCACCAATGAAGTGGTGGCCATCAAGAAAATGTCATATAGTGGGAAGCAGTCCAATGAGGTGCGTACAACACATTGTGTATTAAATGTTGACCATTATAAATACTTATTATATGGGATGTTTTTAATTAGCTGGGGTTTGCAGCAAGAGAAATCTTTCCTATAACTCTAAAAGTGAATTGTAAAGGGTATTGTCTAAACAGAAGAAATGAGTTTACTGTTGATGGTGTATTTCTGCCTTGTCTGCTCTTGGAGAAGATGGACAGGGCTCTTTCCTTCCAGCCACAAAGGGCTCTTCAGTGGGACCATGTAAATGTGTAGAAAGCAAAACAGAAAATTAAAAATGATAGGTCTATGTGTTAGTGTGCCTTGTTGCCCTGAGATGTTCCATTGTAAATGCCTTCCGCAATAACCGTGCTGCTCACTGGGCAAAGGAATAACAGCCGTGGGTGCAGCAGCGAAAGGTACAGAGGGAATCTTGCTTGTACAGAGTCGTAAGGCAGAATGCAGCTTTCCCTGGAATGACTGTGCTGATGAGAAGCGAAAACAAAAGCAAACCAGCAGTGAATGGATGAGTGTGAAAATCTCAACAGCAGCATAATTACGAAGAACTGCCAGAGCTGGGGATTAGGGCAGCCTGTGCAGAGAAGTCTGTAAAAGTAGGCCTCGGAGATTTAAACGTTAAGTGTTTTCGTGGCCACCCCAGATGTGTTTTTCCCTAGGATGCTTAACAGAGCTAATTGATTTTGTACTTGGAATGTTTTAAGTGCTGGTACAGATTCGTGAAAAGCCCAACATGACATGAGCAGCTGATGTGGTATTATTTCTGGTAAACGACATCTATCAAGTCGTGGCATGATTTTTTAACCGAAGTCTTTATTGTAAGCATGTTGTTCGAGGCACTTAGGGTTCCCTCCCTCCGTTCTCGATATTCCAGTCTTCAAAGCAGCCTCGCTCCGATGAGTTTGACTAACAGCTCCTTGCTTTCTGTGCCTGCCTTTTGGGCATTGATCATCTGCGCTACAAGGAGCTGAACTATTCCTTCCTCTCCGTGTGTGTCTGTGTGTCTGCGTGGGAGGTAGAGGTGGCTGAGTCTCTCCAGCAGTCCAAAATTCGAGCTTCCTAGTCAAATTTGCTATGTGTGTTTCTATTTTGTCGCTGCGGTGACTTGTTTAACTGCGTACTGATGAAAGAATAATTTGTACTTACTACTTGTCCAACTGTTTTAATTACTGCGAGCTATAAATACTCTGTTCACATGAATGAAACAAACTGTGCATGCTTCAGAAATAGCTTTTATTTGTCTTCAGTGCTTATGTTTCTCTATTTTGAAGAAAGTAATAAGACCAGGATTAAAACACTTTCTATTTTACTGCTGTATTTATTTGTTTTATTCAGAAGTTTGCTAGAGTTATGATCTAGTTTATGTAAAGAGAATTGATTAAGGGCATTCTGGTGTCATTTATATGTACTTTGGTTTCGTACTAAGATTTATCATTGGTGGGAACAATTATTTTCTAAGATAAGGACATAATTTATACTAAAAATAAGTTTAAAAGTTTTGAAATACCTAGTACTCTGCTCTTCATGTGATCTCAGAGGGGTTTTTTTTACGCAGGAGATCATGAATATGTCTTGACTAATAGATCACCTCTCTCTTCCCAATACAGAAGTTGAGTGTGGCGTTTTCTTGGCTTGTCTTTCATTGCTTAGTACCTCAGAGCCTTTGAGGCTGAAGGTGAAAGGCAACTAAGTCATTCTTGTGCTGGGAGGAGGGTGTCAGTGAGAGTTTATATTAGTCGAGCTGCACTAACACCATTCTCATGAAATTTCTGGTGTTGAGAAACCAGTGTTTAGTCAACCGACTGCCTCGGTTGTGACTGCCACGTTCCCTGGTTTCACTTGTTTCTCTAACCTTAAAGTCTTTATGGAGGAACACGAGGGTGTTGCACACGTTTTCCAAAGCATTTGGGAATATAGAACCTCTATCTGCCTGTGGATCCCAGCCACATACCGACTGGGCCTGAGGAACTGTGTGCTGAGAGATTAACAGGACCTGGAGAATAGATTTGGTGATTTCCTCCCGTGGCTGTGTCCAGACGTGCACTGGAACATGACATTTTGGCCTCTTCCGTGCTTTAGAGTTGCACCGGCAGAGCTCCCCTTTATTGTAAACCTGGATTTTATCTGTTTATTCTTTTACTCCTGCAGAACCATTGCTTTACCTAGTAGGTAACTCGTTTAAAACTGGTCCTTGTAAAGGCTAAGCTAGAGATGGAGAAACATTATCACGAATGTCGGTCAGGTATTTGGCAGGTGATAAGTGGAGCCTCCCCCAGTGTCACAGAGTTACTAGGAAGGGCACGTCTTTATAGCTGCAAGAGGTAAGTGAGATCCAGCTGATCCTGCTGA